CCCCCTTATCTTTGAATTTTATATTTTAAAATCTTTCAAACAAAAAAAAAAAAAAACACAAAACTCAAACCAAAATTCACTACAATGATAGTCATAGTGCGGAAATTAAATGCGGAAGAAACAGTGGTAAAGAACACAAAGATTTATAGTGGTTCGGTCAACTCGACCTACGTCCACTCCCCGGAGGCGCCCTCCGAGTATTGCACTAAAACTTAGTGACTCTCCTTCTACTCCCACAGCAAGGCGGAGAAGCCTTTACAAAACTCCTTTCCACCGACACCGGTGAGGCAGAGAATCCAACTCCTTTTACTTCCTCCTGAAGCAGTAGAGAACCTCTCTCAACCATCCAAGGACAAAGGACTATGATGGAAGAAGAAGATGTAGAATAATGCTTGGAGAAACCTCTGTGAAACCCCCTCACAAACTCCCCCTCACAAGATCCTCTCTCTCTCTCTCTCTCGCTCTCTCTCCCTCTCCTCTAGGCTCTCTCGGGTCAAGACAGCAAAAAAAGATTACTAAAGGATAAAATAAGTGCTCTTAAATAGAAGAGCTTTGAAATAGCTCATTAATTATAACCTGCTGACTTTATCGTCCAGGACGATATTATACGATCAGTGTAAATTAGGCTCAATCAGCTAGGATGATTTTGGACGATCAGAAGGTTTTTATTCATATCGTCCAGGTCGATTACATATCTTCCTATACGATTAGTTTAAATCATAGAATATCAGCTAGACTGTTGCTCAGAATGGATGTCTAGAAGATTTAAAAATATCTTGATCGTCCAGGCCGATCCATAATCGTCCTAGACGATTAGTTCAAATATGTGAAAATCATCTAGAATATTGCCCTGAATAGACTCTGTCCGATATGTGATTGTCTAGGAACAACTAAGGTTTTTGAACTAATTGTCCCGGACAATCCTACGATCGTCCAGGATGATATGATCGTATCAATCAAGCCTTTATTGTGTTCCTTAATTATCAGATTAGTTTAGGTATAATTATACTGCATCGTCCAGGACGATGTCCTGGATGATGTCCAAAAATAAAGAATACTTAAATAGATCCGGCTGATGATTCTTTCTGATTTGAGCCTATCGTTCCAGCCGATATAAATATCTTCCCGGCCGATATAAATATCATCTAAGACGATATGCTTAATGACTGCTACCTTAACCATGATGCCCTAATTAGGATTTTTATTTTTGAACAAATCATCCAGGATGATTTATTGATCATCTCGAACGATGTTAACAAAAATAATTAGCTCTATAAAACAGTCATAAATTCTCCCAAAGCGTGTGTGTGCAAGATTACTTAGCATCAGGACCACATCTTTTATAATAGACTCATGAAAAGGGAAAAAATATAAACTAACTCAGACCTAGTCTACCTAATCTTGAGCTGGTTCGATTGCATTTCTTAATCTTGTGGAC